CCCCCAAAAAAAAAGCTTATTTTCTCTCGCAATTCAAATCTGCATGTGAATAGTCCAAAGCTTTTTTTTCAACCTACTGATACGCATTCCTACATGGGTACGATGCCAACGATTGATCATTACATTGGCTCGGGGTAGGTTTCCAAGTCACTTTCAAAACCCGCCCAACATAACGCTGTGCAACTGCACGCATCAGCCATTTGAGCCACAAATTTCATCATCAAAACACGAAGCCTTTTGCCTTGTACTTGAACGCATTCTTCAATTCGCAAACTGTCCTGAAGAGCCTCAGATCAAAGCAGCAGACCAATGCTTACATCAGGTGATCTTTCGGCAAGGGCTGCCGGGTATTGCTTATTTGTCGACGTGAGATTCGCTGTGCGCAATCTCAGCCTCCACAAGCGAGCTGCGCTGTTGCCTAGCACTAAGTTGCATAAACATCATATATAGAAAGTGACACCTTCTCTTCAACACTCCAGATCCTGAGCTTCTCCGACCAAACTCACTGGATCGCTGGAACTTCAATGAACAAACTTCAAACGACTTCCCAACATGTCTCGTCCCCAATCTCCATCGGAGGATGTGTACAACGATCTTGACGGCTATGAGCTACAGATCGCTCTTGATCAGCTAGCTGCTGGCTCATCGGAAGCGCTGCGACTATATCTAGCTCGCAAAAACGGCCTAGATCCTGCCACAGTATCACTTCATACAACACCATTCGAGAGGAGCTCTGACCCAAACGTCACGTACTCATACGCCGGAAAATTGGACAACACCCATGCGCCAGGAGACCAATCCCTGCCCGACGCCAACGCAGAGGCAAATCGACCGCATGTCATCTTCGAGGACACAGAGGTACCCTTTGACTATGAGCCTTTGGATCCTGGGCTTCGACAATTTCGCCTTTTGAGACTAGGTCCCGCCGACGAGCATGGTGTCACGCGGGACATTCAGGTGGAAACGTTCTGCCTTGATGATGCTCCGCCTTACTTTTGCCTCTCATATGTCTGGGGAAATCCCGAGCGATTCCTCGGGGTCAACTGCAACGGAAAGATGATCTCCGTCACGCAGAATTTGTTCCATGCGTTGCGCACTTGCCTCAATAGACATCCCGGCATGTGGTTTTGGGCCGACGGGATCTGCATCAATCAGGACGATATTGTTGAACGAAGTCAACAAGTTCTGTTGATGGGCAACATCTACGAGCGGGCCAAGTTGGTCCTTGCTCATCCAGGTCACTACGAGTATGGGCGCCGCAAGCCTGGAGACAACGACAGCACGATGGAGACGACATTGGAAGACCGTCTAGGAGGTCTAGGAGTTCAGGATATGCTGAGCTTTGGCGCCGAAAGCTCAATCAAAGATAAAGTCGTGGCGGAGGCCGAGAAACCATACGGGCTACCGGACTTTTTTCTGGAGCCTGTGGACAACGCATACAGCCCCGAAAGCGCCCAAGGGGCCATCAGTATCATGACCTTCCTGATCCACATCTGGGGAGACCATCGCCGAGACAAGGTGCTCTCAGACGAGGAATGGGACAAGGTCGGCCTTCCTGACCCGGACACGAAAGACGGCCGTGAGACCTGGAACAATTTGGTTCGATTCTGGATGACCGACTGGTACTTCCGCACATGGGTCCTCCAAGAGGTCATCCTGGCATCGAAGGTTGTCGTGCTATACGGCTCAGCCGCGATCAGCCTAGAAGCAATCACAGAGTTTTGGGACCTTGCGAGACGTCATAGTCAGCGCTTATACCCAAACAAACAAATTAAATATAAGGTTCGTATTTAATTATTTACCTCATTTCTTATGCTATATTTAATTATTTAACAAATAATTAATAAATTTAATTAATTTCTTAATCGGGAATAAATAAAACTATTACGAAAGTCTTTATAATACTAACTTATAAACTTTATTTCGATTAGCTTTTTTAATTAAAAAATTAACTTTTTATTTTTATAGTACCGCCGTAAAGTTAATTCTTAAGATATTAAACCTTTTTTAATATAAAAAACCTTATTAATAATCGTTATAAAATTAAAATTAATTTTATAAAGCTAAATATCCTTTCGTAATCTATTATTATCGTAAGGATTATAAAAATATTAAATGTAAGCTTATTTAAAATTAAATAAGTTAATTAATAATTAATTTATTATTAAATTAAATTAAGGACCGGTTAAAAGATAATTTATAAATAATATTAATTAAGCTTAGGCACGTAGTTAATTATTACTTTTATTATTTAAAATATTAACTATTACCGGTATTATAAGTTTTCTATAATACTTTTTAAAATCGTAAAGATAATAAAAATAGTTTATAATTATCGTAACGAAAAAAAAAAAAAAGAATTTATTATCTCGTTTATATATTATTTTTATTAATAATTATAAAACCTTTTTTTTATATCGAATAGTTAATAGCTTTACTTAGGCGTATTTTACTTCTTTTTTAACTATTTTAATCTTTATTTAAGGTAAAAAATAATTATTATAACGTAAAATAAAAAGTCGCCTAATTTAATATAATATTTATTAAAAACTTATTAAATATTAATAATTAATAATTAAAAATATCTTTATAAATTAAAATTATTATTAAAAAGTAGCTCCGCCCGTTCCTTAAGTATATATTTAAATTAAATAAAACGAAAAATATTATTTAATATTAAAAATTAAAAAAAAAATTAAAATATAAATTAATAATAAACTAACCGTTAATAAAATAATATTACTTATATTAATTACGATTACGATATTACGATTTAAAAAGTTATAAAATATATTTCTTTTTTAAAAAATTTATTATATAACTTTTTTTATTTTTTAAAATAGTTAATAAAATACTTAAGACTTATTATTATTTTTTATAAACGGTTATAGCCGTTTTTTTTATTTTAACTTTAATATTTTATTATTTAAAAATAAAATAGTTTAAATACCGCCTTTATCTCGGCTAATAATTACTAATCGTTATTATTAAAAACGTCGTTAATAAAGATTTATGTTACGGCTAGCTAGTCGTAGTGAGGTTTATATTAATAAAAGTCAAGGTTGCGATACTCGTAAATAGTAATTATTATAAAAATAGCTTTAGTAAAGCTATTATTTATAAGTCGTGAGATAGGTAAGGCTTTAGTAATTAATCGTAGTTTTATTAAGTAAGTTCTTAATAAAAATAATTAAAAGCGATCGTTAAATTCGGTATAAGAATTAATTATTAAAAAAGCTATAGAAATTTGTCCTTAAGCTTAGCTTAGGCTATCTTATATATAAGTTTTAATTATAAATATATCTTTTATAATATTTTATTTATTATTATTCGACCGTTAATTAAGCGGTCGTTTGTTTTATATTTTTATAATTACTTATTTTATTTAGGGAATTAATATAGAGGTATATAGAATTAATATAAAGGTATACACCTTATAGCGGTATACACATCTACTATCCTAATTAGTTTAAAATTATAGTATATTCCCATAAAAGCAGTAAAGGTGCTTATAATAATATTTCGATAACTTAATAACTTTAAAACTCTCGCTAAATAGTATATACCTTAGGTTATTCTTTATAAAGTATTTATAAAGTCCTTAAAAGTAATAAAAAAATAAATAGATAATTACTTTTACTTTAATTTTAGCGTTAATTTATAATAAATTATTTAAATAATAAATAAAATAATATAGTTATAAATTCTTTTATTTGCCGTTATTTAATATTATTTTTTATTCGCTCTATTGTTTTTAAATATTAAGTTATAACGGCTTTTTATTTATATAACCCTTTATTATCCTTTTTTTATTAAGAATATTAAATTGACTTTTTATTTACTGTTAAAATTAATTTAAGGCTTAATTAAAAATTAAATAGCCGGCCCCTTATAAGCTTTTAATTAACGATAATTTATTACGGTTTCTCGGTAAGCGGCCTTGCTTACGGCCGGTTAAGCCTTAGCTATTTTATATTATAGTAGTTTAATATTAAGATTATTAGCTTTATTAAAATAGCATAAGCTTTATAAAAACTTATTATATTATATTTTTTAGTTTATTACGGAGAAACGTTGTAATTTTTAGGTTTAAAATCCGACGGTAGGGATTAAAAAAAGACGTTATTTAAAACTATTACTATAAATAAACTTTTTATTTATTAAAAATCGATAATTCTATTATTTTTAGAAAAATTTTATAATAGTATAGGATATTTAGTTTAATTAATATAAAATAGTTATTATTATATTCCTTAATAGGGGGTAAAAACGGCCTCTTTTTAAAAAGTATTATTTTATATATAAGCCGATATTATTTAGTAATTAATTAAAAATATTTTAACGAAATTATAATCCGAAGTTTATTAAAGTATTTTAAACGGGGGCCGAGATAATCCCGGCCGGTAAATATTTTATTTTTTATATAAGTTTAGCGAAAGCGTAGCTTTTAATTACTAATTATATCTTATATAACGTCGATAAGCCGATATAGGTAATTAAAACCGTTAAAAAGGTAGCTTTTAATATTGTTATTACTTAACTTAGTATTAAAGGTAATATAAATATTAAAATTTTAATATTAGTAAATAAAATAGCGAGCTTATTATATTTTTATAAATAAATATATTAAATATAAATATTATAAAATCGGGCGTTAGTCGTCGAACTCGTTATAAAGCTTTTTCTATACTTTTTTAAAAAATTATTTTATTTTAATAAAAATAATAAGCTTTTATATAATAAATACCTCGCAATAAGTATATAGGATAGTTTAATTTATTATTATATTAATATAAGCGCGGTCTTTTTTATTAAGCTTTATTATTATTTATATTACTAAATAAAGATCCTTTTTATTAAACCTATTATTATTATTATTATTACCGTCGGTTTTGATTTACTTTTACTTAGCCTTAAGTATAATATTAAAATTAATATAATAAATATAAAGCTATTACTAAGTATTTAAAAACTCTTCGCTAAATATAGTTTTTATTTATTTATTATAGTTTATAATAATAATTATAGGGCGACGAATTAAGTGTTATTTAACTAGTTATCTTATATTTTTAAAAAGAAATCGGAAGCTTTTTAACTTTTCGTTATTAATAAAACTAAATATTATATTATAAATAGATCTAAGGTACGTCTGCTTAGTTATTTAGAATAATAAAAGCTTAAAGCGATTAGTATTATAAGTGTTATTAAAGTTAATTACTTTTAAGAATCGCTTTTATATTTAGAAATAATAAAAAAAGGTCTAGATAAGCCTAATAAAGCGGTCCGGTTTATTATTAACTTATTTAATAATATAAAAAATCTATTACTTATTAAATAACTTAATTAATACGGCTGTTAGCGAATAATTATTTAACTTTTCTTAATTTAAACGTATTTTAATATTATAAATATCACGCTAAGTAAATACGGAATTTAAGAATTATTTTTATATAATAGTACGGACGTTACGTATTCGAATATTAATACGACGGCTTATATTTTTAATAAAATCTTTAATAAGCTAAGTAAGCTTTCGGTATAAAAAGTAGGTAAATATTTTAAGGTTTAGTTAATAATTATATTAACTATAATAAAGGTTTAATAAGTAATATAAAAGCTATTTCTCTTTTTTTTACGTTTTTATAATTATTTATTATTAGCAGCCGTATTTTTTAGACTTTTATTATTAAATATTTACACTTTTTAAAAGACCGGGTTTATTAAATCGATTATATTAAAATAAGTATCGTATAAACCGACCTATCTAAAAGGTATATTTATACCGCTTTATAATACCGAATCCGTTAGCTTTTATAAATATATTAAATTAATTAAAAAAGGCCTTTATAATAGGCTCTAGGCTACTTAAGATCGATAAGTTTAAAATAGCGTTTAAAAAAGGGGAGGAGGATTTTTCAAATTAAGTATAATAAAAAATTATAATTTAAAAAAATAATAAACTCGAAAAAGGGTCTTATTATAAAAGTAAATATAAAAATAATAGGTTTATTTAAAAACCTTACGTTTTTTATTAATAGCGGCTTAGTTTATATTATTAAAAAAGGGCGGTTATTAATTTTTTATTAATATTAATAACTTATTAAATAAGTTTAAGAGTATTATTAAAATGTTTTAAGGTACGTTATTAAAGGTTTTAATAGCTATTATTAAAGGACAATAGACTCCGTTTTAATAAGATATAAAAAAAAGTAGTATATTAAGTGCTTTATATCCTTTTTAAAAAACGGTATATAAAATAAAATATAAATTTAAAGTACTCGGTATTAAGAGGGGGGGCGCTGTGGCTAAGTAAGAATTAAGGTAATATAATAAGTTAAAGGGAGTCGGTTTTATTAAAGAAACGGCGCCTAAAGTAGAGTCTTAATTCGATTCTAGGGTAATAAGGCTAATAATAGGATAATAATCGTATTTTTTTTAATAGCTCGGCTAATAAATCGCTAATTAAATTATTATATAATTAAAAATTATTAATTTTATAAAATTAGTCGATATTAAGATAACTACTAATTAAAAAAGGAGATAATAATATATTTATATAATAGCGTTTTAAAAGATATATTACGTTATTAAGGCTACGTTCCGCAGCTCGGTAGCGTAGATTACGCCGGGGTTTAACTATTAAAAATAATATACGTTAATACTAAGTATAAAAACTACGATAGTAAAGGAAATTTAGAATAAAGAGAATATATAAGAATAGACTAGTAAAATCTAGATATACTAATAATAAAATTTTAAGCTAATTAAGATAGCAGATGTGTATACCGCTGTAAAGTATATACTTTTATATTAATTCTATATGCCTTTATATCAATTCCCTTTATTTATTTATAAGCGTTTATTTTTTATTTTATTATATAATTATAATTATATAATTTACTTATAGTTTTTTTATCTTAAAAAAGGCCGTTTAAGTTCTTATTATTATATATATAATATAATAGCCGCCGTAGGTCTTATAAAATAAGGCTTTAATTTAGTAATACGTGTTAGGTCGTAATATTAACTCTTCTTTTTAAAAGTCTAGTCTTTAGGCTTATAAATAGGTTATTCGTTTTTAAATTAGGGAATTATTAAGTATTTTTATTAAAATATATTGACGTTATATTAAATTAAATTAAAAAATAGAAATTATAAATAGCTATGTCTCGTTATTATTTATTATGTATTATTTATTTTTTTAATAAAAATTTAAAAATAATACCGTATTTAAATTATCGTTTTTAAAATATTTATTATTTAATTCTTTTTAATTTCGATATTTATAAAATATATTATTATTTAAATATTTTATACGATACTTTTATTAATATTATTTATATTTATAAGTTTTTTAAAAACTATTTTTTATAGGTTTTAATTAATAAATATAGTAAATCGTTTAATAATAAAATCCGATCGTTTTAATTATAAAAAATAAATAAAAGAGTCGCGGTTTTAAAAAAAAGTTATAAAACTATAAAGAAAAGTTAAAACTTATTAAAAGGTTTAAATTAAATTAAATAAATTATTATTTAAATTAAAACGCTTTTATTTTTAAAAACGAATAGTATTTAAAAAGAGTTGTATTATATTAAAGGAATTTCTTAAGAATATTAAGAGTATTTCTTTAATAGCCCGGGAGGCGTAAGTTAATAATATTTTTAATATTATTAATTAAGACGCCGTAATAATTAAGAATTTTAAATTTAAATTTAATTTTAATATTTTTTAAAAAGCTATTAAGAGTTTTAAAAGTTTATAATAAGTTCTTATATATTATTTTCGTATTTATAATTTTTTTATTTAATAAAGTATTTTTTATATTTTTTTTTAGTTCGATAGTTAATAATTCGTTCGATTTCGTATTTTAATTTATTAAGTTCGATAATAATACGATTTTTAATATATAAGCTTTTAAATACCGGTTTTAAGAATAAGATATAAAAAACTAAGTAATATCGTATCGTATTTAAAAATTTAAATTTAAAATTAATTAATAAAACTTTTTTAATAATTTCGAAAGGTTTAAGTTTTTTATAATTTAACTTGTTATTTAATTACTTTGTTTTAATATTATGGTAAAAAAGATATATATTATTTCTTTTTTTTAAAATTAGTTTATTAATTTTTAATCTATTGGTATATTTTTTTATCCGTTATTATATAAATATAAGGTTTAAGGAGGCTTTTTTTTTAAATTTTTTTAAATTTATTTACGTTTATTATAGTTTTTATAGTTTATAATTTTTTACGTACTTTTTTATATATAGTTAATTAAAATCCGTAGTTAAAATAAAAAGGGGATTTCTTTATACTTTTACTAATTACGTTATTATATATAAACTAAGCTATTAGTAATAATACTATTTAATTATTTTAATTATAATTTATATAATAACAGAAGTATATTTTAAGAATTTAGTTAATTTTTTTTATTTATTTATTAATTTATAAGTAGAAAAAAGTCAATAATTTATAATTTATATCGAGTTACGAAATTAAAAATCTTTAAAACTTAGCAGTAAATAGCTTATTTTTATTAAAAATTATTTTCTTAAGTAAATTTTAATTAATAATAACTATTTTAAAAAAGGTATATATTAATTTTTTAATATTATTTATTTTTTTATATAATATAAAATAAGTAAATTTAATAAGTCGGTCGACGATAATTAAGATATTATCGTATTATATATTTATAAATAGTTTTTTAAACTTTAATAATTTAATAATAAAGTTTTAAAAAATTAAATATTATATTTTTAATAATACTAATAAAGGTTATAGCTTTTTATAAAGCTTATAAAAGCTATTTTTATTTTTTTTATAAATATTATAGTTTTTAATAGCCTTAATGACTTTTATTTTTATAATAGTTTTATTATAATATTAACGAATCCGTTTTTATATTTTTATAATACTTTAGTAACTATATATTTAAATATTATAAACTTTTATAATAAACTTAAAAGTTATTTTTTTAAATAGGCTAATATTAACTTTTTTAATTATTATAAAGAGTTTTATAATAGGTATAAGATTACCGTTATTATCGTATTTAAAAATTATTTATATTTCTTTAAGGACCGTAATTTTATAATTAAATTATTTATTAAAAGTATTTATTTTATTATTTTTTAAACCTTTTTAATAAATAATTCGGAAATTAAATTTTAACAAAAATTCGCTTTATTTAATTTATCGTTTATTTAGATTTTTATTTATTTTAAAATTCGTAAAGTTTTTATAATTTATATAAATAGTAATTTTATATTTAGTTCCTAAGAGCTATAGTTTTTATTTTTTAAAAGCTTTAATTATAATTATTAATTTTTTATTATAAATTTATTAATTTAATTTTATTTTATAAAACGTTTTAAAATAAAATATATAAAAGTAAAGTATTTTTTATTAGTTTTATTATTTTAAAATAGCTTTTATAACAAAGTTTAAAACGTCGGTCTTAACTTTAAACGGTTTCTTTAGGTCCGGAATTATAAATATTAATTCCGAAGTAATTAAATCCTTAACTTTATTAAAGGCTTTTTTATATTTTTTATTTTAAATAAAGGTTATATTTTTTTTTATTAAGTTATTAAAAAGTTTAATAATATTAATATAGTTTTTAAAGAATCGCTAGTAAAAGTTAACGAATTTTAAAAATAATTATATATTTTTAATGTTAATAAGTATAAATTAGTTTTTAATTATTATTACTTTAGATATTTATATATAGATTTATTTTAATATAATTATATAATTAAAGAAATTTATTTTTTATATATAAAATTCGTATTTATTAAGCTTAATAAAAAGCTTTATATTTTAAAGTTTTTAAAATATTATATAAACGTATTTTTTATATATCTTAAAATTAAAAAAAAAATAAGGATATTATTAAAATAAATAATTATAAAAATATCGATATACTTTTTAAATACGTAATTAATTATTATTTAAAATATAATAAGTACGTTAATAAGTCCGAAAGGTATAATTAAATATTTATAAAGTTTTTTATAAGTTTAGAATACCGTCTTTTATTTATTTTTTTTTTAATTTTAATTTAATTAAATACTTTTTTAAAATTTATTATAGTAAATTATTAAGCTTTATATAATATTTCTTTAAATTTTATAATAAAAGGTAATAAATAATAATTTTTTTTAATAATTTCGTTAAGTTTTTTATAATTAATTATAAATTTAAACTTTTTTTTATTTTTTTTAAATATAAAAAAGATTAGTATTTTTATTAAAAAAGATAATAGTTTAATATAACCCTTTTTAAGTCTATCGTTGATATACTTATTAAATTCGTTACGTTTAAATTAATTTATAAAGTATAATAAATAAAACTTAAATTATATTTTTTTTTAATTTAATTTTTATATTTTAATTATCATATTTTAATAATCTTATTTCTTTTTTTAAAATAAATAGTTTTATATAAATCCGATATTTTTTAAATATAATTTAAAATAGGTCCGATCCTCGATCGTCCGTATTAAATATAAATATGTTAATAAGTTTTATCGTTTTAATAAAAATAATATATTTAATTTATTTTTATTCGTTAAGTATTATATAAAACTTATTTAAACTTTTTTTTTTAAATCGTTTAGTAATTAAGTTTATTTAATAAAATTAACCGGTTTTTTAATTTATTTATAAATTATATTTTCGTAATTACGAGATTTTTAAAATAACGTCGGTATTTTTAATTTTTATAATATTATATTTTAATTATTTTAATTAATTATTAATATATATCGTAAAGTATATAGTTTTTTAGTTAATATATTTATTATTATAATTAATTTTTTTTTTTATTATTTGTAAAATATACGGGTTCGTTTTTTATATTTATAATAATTTATATTTATTTACCGTTTTTAATAAAATAAAGATTTTTTAAACGCCGTTATTAATAATAACGTTTATATTATATCCGTTTATTTAGAATTTAAATTATAAATATTTTTTATTAAGGAATATTATAAAATATAAAAATTTATTTATTTTAACCGCTTTTTATTATTTTTTTATAATTAACGTATTTAGTTTTTTAATATTTCGAAAGCTAGTATTTTTTTTTTTATAAGCCGTTTATAGTTAATTATTAAATCGAGACGTTTTTATTTTTTAATAAGTAAATATAGTACGTTAATAATATTATAAATATCGTTTATTTTTTTATTAATAAGTTCTCTCTTTTTAAAAAATAATTTATAGTTTTTAAGTATTTTAATATTAAATTATATATTTAGAATGTGTCGGTTATATAAATAGTTTTTTAAATCCTTAGTAAGTTAATTTAGTTTTTTTTAAAAGTTTATAGATTTTTATTATTTTAATTACTTATTTAAATCGGCTTTTTTTTTAATAATAAAATCGTTAATATTAAATAGTATTTTATAATTGATTTTTAATTAAATATATCGTTAAGCGACGTTATAAGGTTTATTTAAATTATAAAACGATTATTAGCTTATTAATTATTTATAATTCGATATATTAATATTATTTAAAAAAGGGTCGTAATTTAGTCCCTTAGTATTAAATTTTATAAATATATCGTTAATAATTTTTTTATTTAAGTTATTTAACTTAGTGTTTTTTTTAAATATAAAAAAGTTTTATTTTAAATAAAGTATATTATCTTTTATTATTATTTTAAATTATTTATATAATCGCTATTATAAAATAATAATATATATACATAGCGAGTCGCTTATTATAGCGAGTCGCTTATTTTCCTTTCCTTCTATACCTTTTATCTTAATAGCTATTTTTTTTTACGTATAATTATAAATTCTTTTTTAAATAAAAGTCGTATTATTTTTATATTTTAAGCTATTAAAAAAGATTTAAATTTATCTATACGAAAAGTAGCCTTTATTTATAATATCTTAAGAATAACACTTTGCGACCGATACGCTAGCCTATTATTTTAATATAAAACTTATATAAATTTAAAAAAGACAACTTTTTTAGAAAAAACCGTAATTCTTAAACGAGTTATTAATTTAATTAATTAAGGATTTTTATCGCGATTTAACAACGTATAAAATATAACCGATTATTTTTTTATTAAATACGACGCGATGCGTATCGGATTATAATAAATAAAAAACTTTATATAACGTTAATTATAATTAAAAACGCGTTTTTAATATAGAATTGATTATTAAAAGGTATTAGCTAAGGATTTTATAATTATCTAAACCTAGTTTACTTTCGTACGAAATACGATTACGAAATATAGAATATACGATTATAATATTTATAATTTTAATAAAACAGGCTTTTTAATAAGAATATTTTCGTATATAAAAGTTATTATAACCTTTAATTATCGTAAAAAGCCTCGTACGAAACAGCTTAATAATTAAAAATAAGTTTTTATTATTTAAGGTATATATACGGATAGTTAAGCGCTGCCTCCGTACGTTATCGTAAAAAATAAATATTACCTTTTTTTATAATATATTAATAGTTAATTCCCCCCCGAATAGCGTATCTACCTTAGCAAAAATAGATAGACTATAAATAAGATCAGCTTAAAGTAATTAGAATATTTTAAAAAATATATAAAATTTCGTACGAAGGGTATTAAACGGCTTTTAATTCTTAATAGCTATAATAGTTATAAATTAATTAAATTCGATAATTATTATAAAAAGCGTAGCATTATCGCTCTTTATATACCTCTTTATTTATCGTACGAGCTTTAACCTCTTAATATTAGTTATTTTAACTTACTAAAAGCTTTATATAATAAAAAAATCGAAAAAATAATACGGATATAGATTATATATATTACTAAAAACGATTTCTTTTTTATTTTTAAAATAATCTTTTTTATTTTAATAAGTAAAGAAAACGTATAAGCTAGTTTTAAATAGGCTGGAATTATATTTTTTAATTTAAAAGTAGTTATTTCTTGTTTAGATTTTAAATTAAAAATACTAATATTATTTAACTTACGCCTAAGTAGCCAGGGCTTTTAGGACCTAAAGACATTAACTATAACATATAACGCCGTATAAAGC